GGGGGGGGGGGGTGTTGTACCATAATAATCATACTAACCCACTAAAAACAACCTTAAAAGACATGAGTTTAATTACTTTTTGTTCTATAATGACCACATAACAATTAACAAAATCTGTACCCGTCAGCCCGCATGACTCAAATTATCTCATTATTAAAATACCCATACTGATTCATTCCTTAAATTACTACAATCCCACACTAAATTACAACTCTCTTCCTCCCTTATATTACTACTGCTTAGCTTTCCCATGTAAGCATTCAAAGAAACAAACACAAAACCAAGGTGAGAAAAAGATATGGGGAGAGAGCTCTGTTCAACTGGTTCTTTCACTAAACTTAGAAAATCTTTGACCAAAATGGAGATGAGAGTAAACGAAGCAATTTCAAAGAGTAAAATTGGCAAATACTTCAAGTTAGAAGCTAGAAAAAGCTCTTTTACTAAAGAATTTCGTGCTGGTACGGCGACGTTTCTTACAATGGCTTACATCATCACCGTCAACGCCAGCGTTTTATCGGACTCCGGCGGCACTTGCTCCGTTTCCGACTGCACTTTTCCGGCGAACCAAACACGTGCAACTCCAGAGTGCATGTTGAAACCAAATGAAGGTTATGAAAAGTGTGTTTCCAAAATGAGGAGTGATCTTATTGTTGCTACTGCCTTAGCTTCTATGATTGGGTCATTTGCTATGGGCTTTTTGGCAAATCTTCCTTTGGGCTTGGCCCCAGGTATGGGCCCAAATGCTTATTTAGCTTATAATTTAGTGGGCTTTCATGGGTCTGGAAAAATGTCATATCAAACTGTTATGGCAATTTTCTTAGTTGAAGGTTGTGCTTTTCTTGCTATAGCTGTATTTGGGCTTCGTGGGAGAATAGCCCGGTTTATTCCTCAGCCTGTAAGATTGGCTTGTGCGGCTGGTATTGGGCTTTTTATTGCATTTGTGGGCCTACAAGCCCATCAAGGAGTGAGCCTAGTCGGCCCAGATCCATCTACTCTATTGACCCTCACTGCTTGCTCTAGTACAAATCCGGTGACCGGAGAATGCACCGGCGGGAAAATGCAAAGCCCAACTTTTTGGTTAAGTTCAGTTGGATTTATAATTATGTGTTATGGACTAATGAAGGAAATTAAAGGTAGTATGATATATGGTATTTTATTTGTGACATTAGTTTCTTGGATTAGGAATACTGCTGTTACAATTTTTCCTAACACAACATCAGGTAATTCAAGTTATGAGTACTTCAAAAAAGTGGTAGATTTTCATAAAATTGAGTCCACAGCTGGAGCTATTAATTTTAGCCATTTTAATAATGGTGAAGTATGGGTGGCATTATTAACATTGTTATACATAGATGTACTAGCTACAACAGGTACATTATATACAATGGCTGAAATTGGTGGATTTGTTAATGAAGAAGGAGAATTTGAAGGTGAATATATAGCATATATGGTAGATGCAGGATCAACAATTGTTGCATCAACACTAGGAGTTTCACCTATAGCCACATTTGTAGAATCATCAGCTGGGATTAAAGAAGGTGGTAGGACAGGACTAACGGCGATTATCGTTGGATTTTATTTTCTATTGTCTTTGTTTTTTACACCTTTGATTGCTAGTGTACCACCTTGGGCTATAGGTCCATCTTTGGTAATGGTTGGTGTGTTGATGATGAAAGTTGTTAAAGATATTGATTGGAATAATATTAAGCATGCAGTGCCTGCATTTGTGACTATGGTTCTAATGCCTTTGACATACTCAATTTCCAATGGTATTATTGGTGGGATTGGAGTGTATATTGCTCTAAGTTTGTATGATAGTATGGATTGTTGGGTGAAGTGGTTGATGAGAATGAGAAAGATGGTGGTGAAGGAGCAAAATCAAGTGTCAGCTGCCACTACAGATCAGAACATTGAAATTGTTTGATATTTTGATTGTTCATCATTGTAATTTAGTAGTTCATTTGGGTTGGAAGTAGTTTTTGTTTTATTTCATGTAGTGATAGCAGATGCACAGGCCACCGTGAGAGATCACCTTATCAATTTTTTTTAAAAAATCCAGTTGGAAAAGGCAAGATGTGATAGATTGATCTTTCAAGGGCGTTTGTGCATCTTAGGCTTTGTGGTATTCAGCTATTCTGTGTCAAGTATTAAGATTTTGATAATTTTCTGTGTTCATCTCTCCCTCCTGCAGCGTAGAGCTTTCTGATCCTTGGACACAGTTTGCTGCTTTTTCTTATTGTTGGTGAAGTCTAATTACTGCTTTTCTATTGTTTCTTTATAGGATAGATAGGTCACTCTGCCTATGTGGGTCATAGAAAAAAAACTACATAAAACCGGGATAAAAAATAGAAATAGCCAAATTTACAAATGGTAATTGAAAAATAGTTGCAATTTCAAAAGCAATCGAATTTAGCAATTTTTTATGTAAAGATAAAATCATTAACAATAAACACCATTAAAAATTAGGAAAAATTCCAGCATAACACACATAGAAGTTTGAATTTCTACGTAGCATAATGTGCTGGAATTTCATAATGTGCTAATGCTGAAAGTTCATACGCAATAGCTTCGTAATCCAGCATATTCTGCTGTAACTTCCCGTATGCAAACACTCCATAATCCAATATAATATGCTGGAACTTTCCATGTTTTAACAAAACAATAGGTGTTCCATGTTTTAACAAAACAATAACTATTTTCAATGACTTGGTAGATGCTAGCTATTTTTAAAAACTGACTAGCTCATGCTATTTTAACAAGTGAGCACGCTTCCTTGAAATAACAGACTATGAATTTTCTTTTCGAAGAATTACAATGCTCAGTGAACGGTTAGGAGTTCCTGAGTCCGAGTTGGCCCATCTCATTATAGAGATGCTGCTCGACAAAAGCCTTGTAATTAGACGAAGATCTCGCAAATGCAAACTTTCTTAGCTTTGACGAGGAAACAATCAGGGAGGATCGCTCGACATATTTCCTCCCTCGCGTCTCAATGGCCGCAATATGGATGGCCTCAGATAAGAAAATTTTCACACAAACATGCTAGTAGACTCAAAAGAGTAGAGCTTCAAAATAATCCAAACGTCCAAATGATAATTTGTGATGAGTCCTAACATCATAGTTGCAAATACAGTGCAACTTCAAAATGATAATTGGCCAGGCAACTTCATAATCAAGTTTTGACCCAGCCAGGCAACAACTGAATGCTGTTCAAAAACCATAAATAAGAATCTGGGCATAGCTCCTGTTTCATTCCTCTTGTAACTGCTCTAGATAATTGGCTCCAAGTAGTTCTTTTGGCATTTTACTTTTACAATTTACGTACAGCAAATATACATTCCAGCTGATTTTCAAGTTCAAAAAGACAATCATCTCCACGATTCAGGCCATAAGCTGCAGCAAAAGTTTTCCATCCATTTGTCAAAACATCAACACCTGCTCTGCGATGATAGATGATTGGCCAGATTTTTTTATCCGGTCCTCGTAGAAAAATAATCCACCTTTCCAGCTTTGCCTTTTTCATTAAATATTTTCGCCAGGATTCTGGTAGTTCCTGCACAGGCATAAACGAGGCATAAATTCAAGGAGAGAGAAAACGGATATACATATTGGGAAACAAAGAGAACTTCAGCCAATTACAAGAACAGCTTTGCAGAGCAGAGCGCACTAGATTCTCCAAAGACTAGGCAATATGCCTGAAATTACACTAGAAAAGAACGGGCGCGGTGGTCAGGTGATTATAAAACTCGAACTCACAAACAGCAGTGCAATGTTTCACATAGTGTTCAGGTGATGAAAGGACTGGAAATCTCAAGAATAAATGCTATGTAGGTGTTGCTTCATAGAAACTTTAATGCTCCTATATGACATCTTCCTCTTTTTTAACATTATAAACCAAGGAAGCACAAACTCTTTTTTCACAAGACAAACCTAACAGGATGTCTGCACACTTGTAAGAGTTGATCAAAATCAGCCATTTGCTGACAAAAAAAAGGAGTATAAAGAGAAATGTCCATTATTTTGCCAATTTGATTCAGTTATTTCAAGAAAATCATACCTCGACATGATTCAAGGATATTCATAATCCCAAAAGATACTCATTAACTTTAGACTTAAAGAAATTCTGCCATCATTCGCATGTCCTGCATCATAGACCTAAACTTGAAACATAGCTATTATACTTGATCAAAGTACCAATAATAAGTTACTATGTGTCCAGTGTGATTTCAGGATACTTACTTTAAACGAAGTAGTCTTGAAAAAGGGAAAAGTTTTAATCTAAATCCAGTGTATGGGCTTGTAGTCATCATTTTATTATTTATCTATTTTTCTTTTTCAATTTTTGAGTTACAAAGTAATCATCACTTCTCTTCGATCTTCATGAATTTTTAAAAACATTTTATGGTGTTTAAGCCCAAAGGAGTCCTGACAAAAACATATATTCCCTCTATAACATCTTATCAAATGCAAAGCTTTGATGAAAAGAATGTCAAAGTGCATGCATCTTCAGCGGACAGCGGTAAACTCAAGACTTGTATAAATTGAAGCAGTATATATGCCAATAGTGAAAAATATTCACAGAGAGTGCATCAGATAATAGGATTACTGCAATTCGGCAAAATGGAGAAGCGAATGATATTTAAACAAGCTGTTACCAGAAAATCTCGACCATCGACCTCCAGCAAACATGAATAGCTGACTGCCTTAAGAGATGGCATGTCTCCTGAATCAGCAGGCTCACTTTTGATGACTTTTTCACCATTTGCTGGCTCCTTTCCTGAATGATGTACATCACAACAGAAAGCAGGAAGAAGATGCTCAAAGGCAGTCAAAGCACAGCACAAACATGCAATGGCAATTTGCAGTTATGAAAAAGGAAATCAAAGTTCAAATAAGTTGTAAAAATATACAAGAATGAAATAAAAAGCATACCACTTATTGCTCTAGCAGGATAATATGCTTCTGCTGCTGTCTCCTCATATTCTTTCTTGACTAGTCTTGTTTCCCTAGCTTCATGTGGCAAAAACATTTACCATGTAAAAATCCAATAAAGTCACAATATAAGAACGAATACTAGCCGATCAAGCACCAGCCAGGGTTGAGTAGAGGTAACCAGGCATTTTAAGGATATTTCACCCAATATTCTTAAATATTCTCCCCATGTTCAAGAAAAACGAATTTACAAGTTCAAATATAATTAGAATTACACAATACAGAGCAGTTGCTTCGAACAAAGGAATTAATTATGAAATAGATACTGGTTAGCATGAATGTGGTGTTGAAGCCAAATCTTTGATGATGTCGAATATGGAGGGTAGAAACAACGTTTTCACGGAAAAGGTAGCAACTGAGGAAAAACATGAGAAAGTTAGATGGATAGGACAACAAGATGAATCCCAGCGAAGGGTTTATAGTGATGAGTACCGGGAGAAGAGAGAGGATTAGTTTTTGAAGCTTACGAGTAAAGAACAAAATTTAGGGTCTTCCAACACATACATTAAGGACAATATTGTAATTTGGTATACAATTAATCACCAAAAAGAACAAAAGGCTTCGCTGTGCTGACAAGCCTACAAAGTTGAGCTTTATGGAATCTAAGCTCGACTTGAAACTGCATTTCAGACCAGCTCATGACTGAGGTCAAGCTCGACATAGTGTGAGCAAAACCGAGCTTCAGTTGAACCCTTGCTGCCTCAACTCAGATAGACATAGCCCTAACATGTATATTCTTGCAACACAACAAAAAAAAGATTCCTAACAATTTGAGGCGATCAGAAGCTTACCGAACCAAGATGCTTCATTGGATTTCTCTCTAGTAATTTGATTACTGCCTGTGCAGCGACCATCTTTGTTGTCAGATTGCAACATCATAGACTCTAATATATCCATCATGTGGGTGAGGAAAACAAATCGGAGTCAATTAAACTATATGAAGGATAATAAGACATTGATAAAATGAAATGGGCAAAGGCAACTAACTAGTGTCAGTACTCATCCAATGATTTTGGTATTTGGTGACATTTGATACGCCATCATTTTTGTTGATATTTGCAGCAGGTTTCAAGAATGAAGAAGAGATAATACCACTTGGACAATCATTTTGATCTTTTTGACTCAAAAGTGGAATATCTTTCGCTGGTACCATATCAGTTCCCGTGATTTCAGCCTCAAACTTTGGCAACAATTCTTCCGAATTTAAGTAGTCAGCAACAACTACTAAATTTGGTTCTGTTTGTGATCTTAAATTGGTTTCAACATGAATAGAATTTCCACCGTCAGCTTTTAAAAGACTGCTAGTTCCTTCTGCAAGAGGTTTGCTTGCTGGCATTTCAAAACTTGACAGATGTAAGCACAACCTGTCGTCTCCTTGATGATATTGAGCATCTCTATCAATCATACAAAACGATTCGTCCACGTATACAGCTGGATATACTAATTGTCCCTTCCCAGTGTCAGCATCAATGTTCGTTGCAAACTTTTTAATATGTGTCTTGCATGGGACCTTTTTGGACTCTGATACAGCAGATATTTTACTCCTTTTGTTGGCTGGATTTATATCAGTTGTCTGAAGCAGCTTAACCTGGGAAGTTGCTTCTGGATAAGTCCTTGTTTTTCTTTTCCCTTTGCCGGAGTCACTGTAGAACTTGATCTTTTGACAACCACTTTTATCATATATTTGAACAATGAAGTACTGAACCTCAACAACATAGTAGAAAACCAAGAAGTCTCCCAGATTTAGACCATGTTCAGATGAAAATTTAGGCCATCCCTGTCGGATAGCAAGTGAACCTTCATGGTTACATATTGTTACCCTCCATCTCTGTCCACTCGAGTCCTCCAGATAAGTTTCCCGATCAGTCAGGTGTGAAACTGATTGAGCAAACATGGGGGGAAAGTACTGAAAAGAATTTGCAAAAGTTAAAACTAAGAAATAACACAAAATCGACACATAACTCAAGATAAAGAAACAGGTTTATGACCATATCCTTAGAAGTCTTTTGAGTACTGTATGGTACATTTGCTTATAAAAAAAAAATGCCAAGGCGTCTTGATAGCAACACACACCTTTCATTTGATCAACATAAAGTACAAGACATTAAATAAGAAGTTATAGTAACTGATGCATTTTTGCCAGTTATTTTCTAAAGAAAATAAAACCATGAAAATTGGTTTGTTAACAGCATTATTACCGGAGACCAAATTGCAGTAAACTACAAATAAAGCTTCATAAATATGCAAATACCTAGATACCACAGTTAAATATATTCCTGTAAGAAGCTTCAAGGCTTAATCAATGATTTATGATCTACCCACTAAAAACTTGAGAGGTACTTAAGGAAGATTTGAATCATCATTCCAGAAATGATGTTAACTATAAACGATTTACACGTTTTTCAAGTAACTAAAAGAATATACAGAAGCATGATGCGTGAATGGATAGGTTTGACAAAGCTCCGCAAAGTGCATGGACTGTGGGAGGACGAAAGTCCACGAGAACACCTATTGCAGGTCGCAATTACTAAAGTTGCTCATAAGCAGTTGTCTCTCTAAATTTAAAATTTATGAAGCATTTCATTTTTGTGTTAAGGTCTTTGAAAACGGGAACCTTCTTAATCCTTCCAGCAGAGTGAATTTAAAGCAATATAACATATAATATTTTTTTTTTCATTTGGGGAAGTTAAGGAGGCACTGAATACTCATTTTAGAAGCAATAGCTTGTGAAAATTGAAGAATTCTTTCCAGGATTTTCTTGTTTTATAAGAGCAGGTAATCTGTTGAAAATATGATGTTTCAGAATTCAAAGATGTTTGGCATGAGTTTTAAAACATAAACAGGCCTTTTGGGCTCTACTGCAAAACTTGACAAATGCAGACCATGATCATTATCAAGTGCATAGATACGTACTGAAAGATAAACTAATATTAGGAAATTCAAGTGGTTAAAGAAAATGCTTAGACATTCTGGATGATGGTGGAAAGGAAGATCAGATAGATACTATTGCACTCAGTTTATTTGAATGAATCGGTAGATATAGCACCGAACTCTACCATAACTAAAGAAGAAATCAAGCCTATTATATATCTAATTCAATAGCAGATTAGTTGGATTAGCTCTCTTCTCTATAGGTTACATATGCATTCTGCAAGGTCTTCCAAAATGGCAACAATGCAAAACATCTGAATTATATTAAAAGTAGCAGCAAATATTTACTAGTCATAATTGAAATTTACTTCTCCCTATTCCGCATCACTAGGTTAGGAACAACCATGAAGGGTTGAGTTTATGGAAAAGAATTCTGGCCAAGTAGTGCTATTTATGTAGTGTCCTTAAATAAAATTGCAGTTATATCTAAGGATTTTGGAATCATGAGAATGCTAAATGGGATAGACGTCTTCTAAACAACAACAACAACAACAACAAAAAACCCAGTGTATTCTCATAACTGGGGACTGGGGTAGTGCGTACGCAGATCTTACCCCTACCTTATAGAGGTAAAGAGCCCGATAGACCCTCGGCTCACGGAGCAGTGGAGATAAAGCAACAAGTTGCAAACAATAGTAACAACAACGTATTATGGTAACAACACGAATGACACAACATATAATAGTAAAGAACCATGAAGAGGATATACGTCTTCTGTTATCTTAAAAAGAAACAAAATCTATACAAAACTATGGAGGACAACAACAACAACGACCCAGTATAATCCCACAAGTGGGGTCTGGGGAGGGTAATATGTACGCAGACCTTACCCCTACCCCGAAGGGTAGAGAGACTGTTTTCAGGAGACCCTCGGCTCAAAAAAGCAACAGGAGCCAATATATTAGTACCATAAAAATGCATAATACAATAACAACAATATAAGAGATATGAAATACAGAATACGAAATACGAAATAAATGGTTGGTATAGTAAAACTAGCAGGTAAAGCCCTGCATCAATAGACGACCAATTATATTCTTAGTCTAACTCCTAACTAGCTAGTCTCAAACTATGGAGGACCTAGGACCATAAACGCAAAGATAAAGTTGTTTCGATATTTTCAAGAAGTAGGTCAAAAACCTGTTTCTCAAATCCAAAAAGTTAGTAGCCACCACTTTCAGTACTAATTTTTAATCAGTTTACTCACGAAGTTCCATAGCAGAAGTATCATAAAATTTCCTTTTCAAGAAAATTTTCATCTTTTCATTAATTTGCATTCATTGCACAACTTAGGGTGTGGTCTATAAGAAAAATAAGGTATATCTCAGTGAAGTTTATGGGAAGAGGATCAAACTAAGCTACCAGAGTAAACTGCATCATAAAATGATCATTAATAGTAGGTAACAACCTCCTTATGGTAAGTCATTTACCTGGAGCACATATAGCGATCATGAGGGCAAAACAGGATCATAAAAGAAAGATTACTTGGTTAATAGCTATTGTGGTGTTATTCCAGAAGCTGTAACTTATATTCAATATACTCCTGCATTTATTTATTCATATGTTTATTTTGATAAGCAATATATTCCTGCAGACTTTTGCTTGTGTTCTCTCAAAATTAAACTTGCTATGGTAGAGATCCTTTAGTTGGTAAAGATTTTGCGTTCTCTCAATTTTTTTAATGTGGTAGACTTACACAGCTCACATATTATCAGTTCAACCTTCCCTCCTTTATTAGGTACAGATTCTACGCCCCGTGCATTGGCATCTTCTTCATTATTTCTACACTTTTCATGGTTCCTAACTGAGTTCTTCTTCCATTTGATTGTCAAATATCAGATCACTTATTCACTATCGTCTTAAAGTTGTTATAGAGCAAATACCAATCTCATATTTCAGTGGAGCATTCACTTGAAATTTTATCAGTTAAGTTGTACTTCATTAATCTGTTAATTTCAGAATGGAAAGGTTCAAATCTTATCCCAAATGAAATTTAGTCAGAAGCTCTGAACATAAGCAAGACCTTGTTTTCATTAAAATAAGTTAACCACTTTTATGGTGTTTATTGGTCCTAATAAGTAATAATCCTGTAGTTTGCTAACTATGTCAAAGTTTATCATTTCTGGAGATTTTTATCGCCTCGTTCAGTTTAGATCCAAAGGGATATTCTTTAGCTTTGACTTTCTGAGTTCAAATGAATCTGCTAAAATCCCTATTTAGCCTCAAGTAAGAATCTGATTTTACGATCTCAAAGGGCATGTAAGGATGAGGTTCAATACCATAACTGTTTTCTGTGCAGTGTATTGCTTTAAATACGCTGATATGCTATTTTAATTTTTTAGGAGTGTTTGGAAGGCTTTCCATATGAGGAAAAGAAAAGTCTAGAGGCGTTTCACGCTAGTCAAAACACCAAGAAAGAAGCTCCAGTAAAAAATATATTTTCAGCCACGTTTGCAGAAGTAGAATTAATGTATTGATTCAGCCTTCAGGATGATTATGAGGAGTTAAATTTAGTATATGACAAGAAGGATTGAAGATACAAGGGGATGAATAAACTGAAACACTACATGGACATGTCCAGAATATCAGAATCTTGAGAAGATTTAACTGAAAGGACCCCGTAAGTCTTCAACTAAGGAAATGACTTTCATTTTCTTTTACCTTTATTTTCTTCACATAAGATTGAAATTAAGAAAATGACCTCCATTGACCAAGAAGGAGAGGTTGATTACTGATCATTGATAAATAACCAAGAAGGAGGTTGAAAATGACCTACATCGACCAAGAAGGAGGTTGATTAGCGACCACGAGTTGATAAACAACCAAGAAGGAGGTTACTAATCGACAATAGGGTGATAATCCACCAAGAATTAATTGATAATCGACTGGGAAGAAAGTTGGATTAGTGATCATGGGTTGATGAAGGACCAAGAAGGAGGTTGATTATCCACAATAGGGTGATAATCGACCAAGAAATTGATAATCGACCAAGAAGGTAGTTGATAAGAACGACTATTCGTTGATTTAATTGAAACTAATCCAAACATGGAAAGACAAAAGAACAAAAAAAATCAGACAATTCTTCTTCTTTTTTTATTTTTTATGTTCTTTAATCTAAATAAAGGGTCATCCACCAATTAAAAATAACTTGAGGTCATTTACCTAATTTAAAACTTAGAAAAGGTCTTTTCATTAATAACTTGATGCCTGCTAGTTAGCTAGGTGTTATACCTTGTTTCTTCTATTGAAAGATTGACGATTGACGGATTGAGTTCCTAAGACATCTTGGGATACCACGGAAAATAGTATAGAGTACAATCATGAACCTAAAGGGTATGCTAAAGTTCATATTTGGGAAATGCTTTTTCAGTCATTTAGTCTTTCACAAATTTTAACTACATTGATGAGAAAAAACTATAGTAAAAATAAAGATTAGTCTTCAAAATATTAAGCAAAAGGATGTCATCAAAAAGTAGACATATAACTTCAAGAATGACTGGAAATTGCAAATATGGTTATCAAAACCAACAGTACATTTAGAACGAATACTTAAACTAAGTAAAGAAAGTAAGCACACAAAGAAAAAAATCACATTCTACCAGAATTTTGTGGAAACTTTTGTCGATCATCACTTTAAAGAAAGAAGAAACTCTCTTTCCATGAAACAAGAGGCCGTTTTGCTTGCAGTACACATCAGATGCTTCCTTCTCGCATGCCATCTCCTCCCAGTACAGAGTATGTCTCCCCAGAAACTTCTAATTCCTATATAGTATATGAAACTCACGAAAATATCAGCTAAAATTTTAAGTTTAGAAGAAAAAAATGGGGGCAAGGGTGGACCAAGGTATAGTAAGATGTCAAAAGTATGTTCATGGCAACTATAGCCAGAAGAATGATATAACAGTATCTAGGCAATTTATTAAAATTCAAATAGATGGTCCATTTCCCTTTTGCAATTTCTTTCGACTACTTTGTATTCTCAAGAATAGACCAAAGTAACTTTCTTGTCTAAATCTTGATATGTATAAAGTTATAAAAGCTCAAGAGAGAAAAAAAAACAAAAAAATGAAAACTTAAAGTAAATTTTTTGTGATGATGATGGTGTGTGGGCCAGCTTCCAAGCACAACGGCTATTCCAGACAGATACTAAGTAACTATATCCACCAAGGCTTTGACAGATAGGAAAAAATCACCTAGTATATTTTAATACTATAATTAATGAAGTACAGTAACATTTTATCCAGAGATGGTAATGTAGGCCTGACCCTTCAATTTCTAGGGTTGCGCCTCAGTGAAATCGGCTATATGCACGTTATGAGATCAAGTCATATATGTTAACAATCAAAGCAGAAACAATAAAGGTAGCGATCGATGTGTTAATGCAGCCATGATCCTTCCATTTTTAAGCAAGCTCATCACTATAATCAGCTATTACCATTTTTTCACATAACCCTATATGACAATCATGGCTACTATCTGGTTGAGAGCAGCTAAAAATCAAAGAAAAAAAATGAAGAACTTCTAGACTGAGAAAAAATAGAAAGCGGAAACAACGAAGAAGAAAATAATAATACGTACCGTCTGAAAACAGAGTAAAACAGCAGGGTGAGAGTAAGCTGAATCGATTCGCTACCGTTTCTCACTTTTGTTCAAGTTGCAGAGCACTGTCCAAAAAATAGCCTTTTGTTGCTTTTATGTTTTATTCTACTGTAGGAACTTTTCGTGCGGATTTTACTATATAGCGCAGAATCTGTACTAGGATTATGTCACGCTCAATACACGTGATCATTATTTATTTATTTTTAAAAAGAGAAGATTATTTTTAGATTAAAAATAAAGCAAAAATCACGTTTGTTGATCAACTTCTAAAGTAACTTAATTATTCAACACGTGTAGAAACATTTGGACTACTTCAGGAAGTCGTTTGGTTGTTCCAGGCTTCCAGCATAAGCTAGTAAGAGGGATTAAAAAAGGGATTTTTACATACCTATACATTATTACAAACTTTATTATTAAAAATGTTCATGTTTAGTTAATTACCCGGCCTAAATAAGTTTTGTCTACAAAATATATACATTCCACCTTAAAAGATTCTCAATCCATTATTTATGCCTTCAATCAAGGGATTTAGTTACACCATTTTCTTTTTTTCTCTCTTCTTTCCAGATTCTATCTTTTTCCCCATATCTCGAGTAAACGGAATGCTTTGAATAATAATGAATTTCCGAACAAAATTTGCTACTCTAATAGACTTTGCTCAAAATCCTCTTTCTTACTTTTCTTTTAAACCCAAGAGTAACAAGTTAATTATCTAAATACCCAACATCTTTTAGACTTTGCTCTAAAAGATGCATATCTAATTTTAGTGTGCAATTATCTAAATACCCTAGCTGTCTAGAGATCTACGAACTATGTGACCTCACCTATATAGGTGGTTATTTTAAGAGAATACGCTTTGATAACTCATAAATCAACGAGTAATTTTAAATTAAACCTAAATCTTCAACTTTTTCCTTACCTCCTCTTGTATCTGGTAATTGGTGTAGGTAGATTACTTTCAGTTTCTATGGGCATAAATAAAAGAAATTTTATTAGTTTATGCATAAACTGAAAATTCAAACCGAAGGTAAAGTCATTCTATTTACCATAGTAAAAATAAATTTCATACAACTAATTATATATTATACAACTTATATACAACATATCTACATTTTCATACATTATTTCAACTCAGTTATATACAACTACAATATCATACAACTTGAATATAATTTTTATACAATATTGTTTAACTTTCATACAATATTTAAATAAAAAAATATACATAAACAACAGAATACAATTTTTCTACAATTTTACTACAGCTTTGCTACAATTTCTGTAGTATAATGCATGTAATGTTTTCTTCTTCTTCTTCTTCTTCTTCTTCTTCTTCTTCTTCTTCTTCTTCTTATTCTTCTTCTTCTTCTTCGAGTTTCAATCTGAAATTCAGCCAAAATCGGGTCTAATCTTCACCAAAACACCCTCAAATTTGAGATATAAACTCCAAATAATATTTCCAATTGTTTGCAACAACACCCAATCCAAACAAATAATGATTTTGGAAAACCCAAATTCGAATTCAAAGCTTCAAAGCTTTTTAATGGCTGTCAATAGTGGAATTGCTGCTCTCTTTTCCTTTGTTTTACATTACTGGAATTAGGGATTGAGCTATAGAGAGAGACGTAGAGAGAATTCCCAATTGTTTACAACAACACCTAATCCAAACAAATAATATTTTTTGAAAACCCAAATTCGAATTCAAAGCTTCAAAACTTTTTAATGACTACCAATATTGGAATTGCTGCTCTCTTCTCCTTTGCTCAACATTACTGGAATTAGGGATTGAGAGATAGAGAGAGACGTAGAGAGAGAGAGAGAGAGAGAGAGACGGAGAGAGAGAGAGAGAGAGCGCATGAGGGAGAGAGAATAAGGATGTGAAATAATTGTTTCCTAATATAAAGAGATACTCATTTAATTCTTAAAGTGTATATAATTGGTAAATTTGTATATATGAGATAATTAAATTGAAACTTGAGTAGGGAGGGTAATAAAATTTTCAATAGTGTATAGGTATATAACAGTGTTTATATAAGAAAAATAATTCATCCATAATTTTACAGTATTTGATTGATAATATTAAATAATATCCACAATTAAGTTATAGAGAAATTTATATGTTATTTTATGGGAGATAAAATATAGTACGTATATTAACAAATGGGGTGGTTTTTGAAAGAGGAATTTAAGAGAAACTAATTACCCGGTTATACCCACTTGGATAATAATTACTATACATACATATTTCATATAAAATTATTACTGGTCCACCCATTAAGAAAGTCTTTAAAGGCTTCAGGGGCAATGAACCTATATATATCCCACACCTGATCTTCCTTTCTTCAATCCAAGGTAAGAAACATTTTATTTATCTTTTCATCGATTTCCTCTCTTTGTTCTTGCTTTTATTTTCATAAATAAAATTGTTTATCTGATATGCAATATTTTTATGATATTCATAAAGTAAAATGTTGACAAATTAATGGGTTCAAGGAATAGCAATTTTTATTTAGTTATGTGATGATTTTGTATATACAACATAAGAGGTTTGCTCAATATTTATAAATTACGATTCAATTAACTCACTACGTGCATGTAGTTTAATTTTTTCTTGCTGAATGAAATCATCACCTATTGAATATTTTTTCATCGCCACAAAATACTCTCTCTCTCCCTACAAATTTTATATTTTCTCGTTGCTATTTGTTCTAGTTCAAGTCATTTTTTGGAATTTAATTGTGATTTTGGTGCTATTAAATATTGCTTACAGCACCTTCTGAAAGTTCATATTGAAATTCGATCGCATTTGGAGCTGATTTGAGGTGATTGAGATCGAAATTTTCAGCTGAAAATCGAAAAAAAACACAGTTACCCAACAATATACCATCGCGTATACAATATGTTGCAGGAGTATATAGCTATACTGCAACAGTATATTATTATAGCATACAATATACTGCAACGGTATGTTGTAATAATCGAAGAAGAACATGGTTATCTAACAATATACCGCTACAATATACAATATACGGTAGGAGTATATAGCTATACTAAAATAGTATATTATTATAGTATACAATATACTATAATGGTATACTGTAATAATATGCAATATACTGCAATACAATGTTGTAATAGTATACAATATATCATAATAGTATACTTCGACTACTATTTGTTGAAACATCTAGGTGTTATTGTGCAAGCTAAAGTCATGGTTATAGTAACATTATACTGTTATAGTATACAATATAATATAATAGTATACCATAATAAATAAGTCATTTTTTAATATTTTTAACTTTTCCAACTAGGTCCTTACAAATATTTTCTTAAATAAATTTTTTGATGGAGTTCCATAAAAATAATATTCATTGTACAAAATAGTATTATGGGAAAAAAAAGAAAATTAAAAAAAGTTGAATGAAATTAGAAAAGAAACACGAAATTAAAACAAAAGGAAAGAAAAATAAAAATAAAAAATAAAAATAAACGAGCCAAATTGAGTATAAAACTAGATTATGGTGAATAAGGAAAATAAAGAATAATATAATTCCGAAAATATATATATGAACAGAAAAAAGAAAATTAAATAAATAAATATGAGAAAAAATAAAAGGAGAGAAGAAAGAAAAATAAAAGCAGAGAAATAAAAAAGAACATGAGAACAAAAGCTACAATTGATAGGAAAGGTAATTAGTTTGGTGGGTAGAAAAAGTAACGGGTAGACAAAGGTAATTAGTTTAGGTTTTGTTGGTAAACCTATGAAACTCCCTTTTTGAAAGTACTAAGAACCCCATACACAAAAATGGGTTCATGAAAATGAAAACAGAAAGCAAAAAGTTAAATTAAGGAGCTATTGTGGGTCTTAACAGTACTGGGAAAATGAGTGTTCATTCTTGATACTGGTAATATGTTAGAGTAGGAAATTTTGAGGCTGTTGGGGTTGAATTGTTTGAGATTTTATCATATATGAGCTTTAGATAGGTATAGTTTCATGGGAAATTGAATGGAAATGATTATAGAACATGAGATAAGAGATTGGGGTATGGTGGATGAAGTGGAGATTTTGTGTGACAAGAGAGTGCCACCGATACTCAAAGGTAAATTCTATAAAGTAGTGGTTAGACCGGCCATGATGTATGGAGCTGAGTGTTGGCATATTAAGAACTCACATATTCAAAAGATGAAAGTAGCAGAAATAAGGATGTTGAGGTGGATGTGCGGGCACACTAGGATGGATAAGATTAGGAATGATGATATTCGGGAGAAGGTGCACACAGCTCCCATTGATGACAAGATGAGGGAAGTGGGGCTCAGATGGTTCGGGCATGTTCAGAAGAGAAGCCCAGATGCCCCGGTAAGGAGGTGTGAGTGGCTGGTTGTGGAGGGCACGAGAAGAGGTAGAGGGCGGCCTAAGAAGTATTGGAGAGAGGTTATCAGACAGGATATGGCGAGGCTTCAGATTTACGAGGACATGACACTTGATAGGAAGATGAGAGGGTCGAGTATTAGGGTTGCAGGTTAGGAGGTAGTTGAGTCTTGCCTTACTTCGTACCTTTGTGAGACTAATCTGGTAGGGTTTTTGTCTAAGATTGCTAGTGGCAATGTTGTGTCTTACTATTTCACTTTTCAGACCTATTTACTAGCTATCGCTTTTGCTTTGCATCTTTCTTCTAGATTTCATGTTGTTCCTATTTTTTCTATGATTTTTGTGGTGATACTAATATTGTCTCCTTTTGTCTTTTTGTTTTCTTGAGTCGAGGATCTTTTGGAAACAACCTCTCTACTTTTTCGGGGTAAGGGTAAGGTCTGCGTACACACTATCCTCCCCAAATCCCACTAATAAGATTTTACTGTGTTGTTATTGTTGTTGTTGTTGTTGTTGTTGTTGTTGTTGATATAAGAGAAGATGACAAGAGTTTAAGGTTCTTTGGCTTGGAGGGAAAGTTGGAGTTCCTGAGAAGAAGTCGCATAAGTTTATAAATCGCATTTGACTTAAAAATCTAATAAATGAAGAAACGACTTATAAATTGCATTTCATGTTATAAATCCTATTTGATCAATATAAATCGCATCAGACACTTATTAATCGCATTCGAGA